CCCCCCCCCCCCCCCCCCCCCCCCGCAATAACTGAAATCCTTAAAGTAGCGACGTTGTTTATTTTAGTATTTATATATATTTTAAGGCGTTAGAAACCCTTCCCACACTCTTGCAATGTTCTAAACTCTTAAATCTATGTCATTTTAGCAATGTTAAAAGAAAGTTTACATACTTTTAAGTACTGTATATGTAGCTACTAAATTTGACCAGGTTCTGCAGAACAGGAGCGGCTCGGTTCCAGTCCAACTCTGTTCCATTTCTGCCGAGCTACCCTGCGGTTCTGGCTCTAGGTACAGTAGTGGCGGTGGGCTCCGGAGGGAGCGCCAGACCTATGGCAGCACATCCTCACGTGGAAGTCCTCGTGGGCTGGCTAGGATCTCTCGGGTTCACCGCTGAGTCTGGGGGTCTGTTCTGTGCAGCCCATCAGTACCCGGGTTACAAAGCACAATGCTCTGTTTCTTCCAGAGACATGTCCTGACATGTCAACATTTTTCAGTCAAGTCATCTGGACAGTTTCTTTTTTTGTGCTGAAACGTTTCGCCTTCGATCCAGAAGGCTTCATCAGTCAAGGAAACACACAACAAAACTGATTCTTCCTCCAACAGCTTATTCCAAAGTGGAACAAACCAGTTATATTGGTGCTAAGATGGTCTCTTTGGCACGCCCCCTCCTCCATTGCCGGCCCTCTTCCTTGTTGACAGTCGTGTCAGACTGGTTGAAAACCAGTTTGACACCATCTTAGCACCAATATAACTGGTTTGTTCCACTTTGGAGTAACCTGTTGGGGGAAGAATCAGTTTTGTGTTGTGTGTTTCCTTGACTGATGAAGCCTTCTGGATAGAAGGTGAAACGTTTCAGCACAAAAAAAGAAACTGTCCAGATGACCTGACTGAAAATTGTTGGATTGTATACCTGGATTAATCAGCATGGACTTCGTTGATGTCCTGACATGATTTATTTCTTGTGAATCTTACGTTTGTAAAGTTTAATATTTTAAAGAAACTTGTTCAAGTGACCTGATTAAAACCTTACATTTGAAAAGAGTTCAGCAGTCATGACTTCGCTTTGCAAAAATACTGTTCAGCAGAAAGCAGCGGCCGGAGGTACTAAGGTACTGCATTGGTTTCTGGGAAATGAAGTCCCGTTTAGTGGCGATTACAGTGTAGGTTGATTAAAAGAAAACTACAAAATGGTGGCGCCTGTCCATAGTCCTATTGGCAGAGTGGTTCTGATGACAGTGAGGTTTCTATTAGCATCATGGTCCCGTTGGCCCCATGGGACTGTTAGTGGCGTGGTTCGGTTAGCGGCATGGTGTTAGCAGTGTTAGTAGGTCCCTTCAGCATTACTGTTCACTTAGCATGTCAAACAGAGAGAATAAAATAACAAACTAAAAAAAAATTCATAAAAAAACAGCATTCATATTTGACTACAGATTTTAGGACGACAGTTCTCATAACAGACAAATTAGTCTAGTTAAGAAAGGAATTGGCCTCAGTTTTTTTCCGTTAATATTTGCTTCCTTCACCTTAACTGTCTTTTGTCACAATTCAACCCCCCACCCCCACCCCACCCTCCCTTCCTGGTTCTTTTCTTGCTGCAGTTTGACACATCCTGAGGGGAAAACAAAGCTGACAGTCCAGCATGAAATGCTGCAGATGGAAATGTCCGAAATGAAAATGGGGGTTTCCTCTCGATCTCTGTTCGTACTCGACTCACTTGACAAAACAATCTGTTTATTTATGAACACTAAAAGTCACACTTTGTCCAGGTTGGATGTGCCAAGTCAGGACAACTGGCAGCCATCATCAAATATGAATAAAGCAGGATGGCTTTGCTTATCAGTAAAATTCCAATTATGACTCTGAAGCATCTGAGAAGCCGTTTGGGTTATAACAGAAACAAATGTAAAGCTTACAGCTTACACTCAGTTTTTATTCACCAACAAAGACATATTCTGTTGTAGCCGTGATTTGTACATCCGAAACATTTCTCTTGTACCACCCAAAACTTCTGATCCACTCAAGATAATTTAACAACACTTTATACACATTTGTACCACCACTAGACACCGTGTTGCATAATCCCTTTATCACCCCAGTTCTAAGGTCAAGGTGACAAATCAAGATCATTGCTATAGTTGCTGTGTAATAGTTTGCAGGTGGGTGTATAACGTGCCATATACAGTACTATATTTTGTCGCCATTTATTTATTTTATGCTTCTGTTTAGCTGTACATTTAAGGATTCAAGAATTCAAGGTTGTTTATTTGTCATTCCACCACATGTGGTACATTCAACCTTTATGGTTAATCCCACTGAGCCTTGGGGTCTCATTTACAAGAGAGACCTGATTTCTTAACAAAGAGTGATGACAACAATGGATAACAACGACAACAATAGACAGTCATAAAAATAGGCATACAAATTTAAATTTCTCCTTTTTGTTATTTTTAACAAATCAAAACAAAATAGCAACCAAAAGGACAATCAAGAAGAGTAGTAGCAAAAAAACAACTAGCTTATAAGGTGATTTAGAAAACTAAAAACAGGAACATGTCTGCATTGGCTTTTGCCAGGAGGGTTTTAAAGTCACTTAGGGGCCGTTTACACGGCACACATTTTGAGTGCATCCGCTCCTTTCTCTCTGCGGTTCCGCTGATCGTTTACACGACACCAGTGGCCCCCTGTTTGAATCCGGAGGTTTCTGAATCCACCTTCCAGGGTGGAGGTTTTTCTCTGACCCCCGCTGATAATGTAAACATCTCCCGCTGAGGCTTTGTGTTAAACCACATGCGCACACGGACAGACGCTATATTTCTATCAACATGGCGGCAGACACACTGCTTTCTGAACTACAACTGATGGAATATATTTTTAATCTCGTAGTTAATCTACGTCAGATTCCAGGTGCTGTGACCGACATCTGTGTTGGAAGAGACACAGTCTGATCCAGTTCTAATGTCGCTGTTTATAGAACGAGGCACGCGCACACGTCGCGCTGCACTATAACATCTAAATGTGCTAAATAATAAGTTTAATAATAATAAACAGTATTTATGTTAAGCTGAGTGAAGCTGACACCCCACCCACTTCCAAAATTAAAGCAAATAGTCTGAATGGTTAGTGCTCCGTTAGTGCTGGTTTGTGCCGTTAAAATTTTCGTTTGTGCTGCTTTGGTTTATGAGATATTAAAAGTTATAATTTTGACCTGTAATAGACGCTCAGGCGCGTTCACACGTCCTTTATATCCGCAATCAGGTACTAAAAGGAAACATTTACGACAGTTGTGTTTTTGTTGTCAAATCTGATCCACACAATTACAGCCGGAGCGCGCGCCCGCCTTAAGTAAAACGCTCTGCCCTGACGTGTGCGTGAACGCGCCTGAGGACGCGTGAACGCGCCTGAGCGTCTATTTCAGGTCAAAATTATAACTTTTAATATCTCTTAAACCAAAGCAGCACAAACGAAAATTTTAACGGCACAAACCAGCACTAACCATTCAGACTATTTGCTTTAATTTTGGAAGTGGGTGGGGTGTCAGCTTCACTCAGCTTTTATGTTAGTGTGAAATATAATGAAGCTCTGAGCTAAATGAAGCTATCTGGATATTATGTAATTCAAATTTAAAATGATGCTAAACATATAGCGTGAACACTAAAGTTGAAAATGAAGACATCAGGTTTAATTTTTATTTATTTATTCAACACCACAAACTGTATGTCACACAAACACTGATAATTAAACTGAGCACACTATGAAAACACGTTAACTGTAAACTGCATTAATGAACTGGACTCCTCTGTTTTCATCCTGGATGTCCCATGTTGTTCATCTGGCTCGTTCAGGCTGTCACTCCTTTGATTAATGCAGCTTAAAACATTGAATGGATTGAATAAAAGAACTGAGGGGAATTTAAAATAAATAGTTCATCAACATCTCGCTCTTCGACGTCCTCCTGCAGTTCATCTGGGCCGAGCCTCGTTCAGAACCGGTCCGCCTGGTGGGAGGACAGCCTCTTCTTCTTTCAGGAAAAAATAAAAACTCAGTTGGTTGTTTTGTAACCGAAGTAAACACAAGCTAACATTATTAAGAACATTTGATTTACCTGCAGTAATCAGCTACTGATTATCACGGAATAAAGTCCGACATCGTCACCTCGGTTCTGGTCCAATCAGCGACCGGTGTGGAGCTGTTTAAACGAAGCGGTCCCACTTGGCGTCAAATCTGTCGACTTTTATCAAAAATTCAGCTTTAACTTGTTACGTTGTTGTTAGCTGAGCTTTTTATCTCACAGGAAAGGAGCGTGCCGAGGCAGCAGCATGCGCATTAGGTGAAGGTACAAAATTCACAGCGCCATCTAATGACCCGGCATGCTAACTACAGCGGATTCGGGAGGGAGGGGTGGAATCCTCCGGATGCATGTAAACCCAAAATGCGACCATGTCAACGCACATCTTTTCCTCTAATTAACATACGAAAAAACCTACGTTTCCCCCCATCGTGTCTGTGCAAATAGGGCCTTAGAGAGGTCAAGGTCAAGAGCTTCAGATCTTTTTGCAAGATATTCCAAGAAACAGGAGTGGTGTAAGAGAAGACCCTTTTGCCTAGTTCAGTCCTCACTGAGGGAACACTGCATGTAATAATGTCCTGAGAGCGCACGCTGTAGCTGCACTCATGCAGAGACATCTAGGAGGAGATGTATGAAGGCAGCAGACTGAGACGTGATTTAAAGATGAAAATGTACCAGTGAGATGTGTGTGTCAGGATTTAGGGCATGTTGTGAGATAAACCCAGTTTGCAGGCAGGAC